GCTGTTCAGATTTCTATCTTTGTAGTGTTTCTTCCACATTCTCTCTTGACCACAAAGAAATCACTCTGTGTGCTTGTGGAAGGTCTAAATGGATACTGTACTGTGCAGCTAGGCAAACATGGAATCCTGGGCAGGCGTGGTAACACATTTTAACTCATTAAAAATTGAGTTCATTCAGTCATCTAGTTCTTGTCAAAAGTCTTCATCCACTTCTCACTTACAACTTCTTAAAGGGCTTACAGCAGTGTGGGTCCTTTGTCAGGGAGGGTCCACAGAGGCCCTCACGCAGCCATCCCAGCTTAGCCTGACCCCCGTGTGGTAGAGCCATCAACAACGCTAAGTCGTGTGGGACCTCATTCAGTTGTCCTCAGCTCTCCCCCCTGGTACTCCCCCTCCCCTCTCTACCAAAGTTGGCTCAGCCTGCAGATCTTGCACCTACAACATTTGATCCCAGGAGCAGCTCCATGGGAGGCATCAATGATTGGGCAATGATTCCCTAATCTGTTGATCGGAGTTTAGGCACAAGCAGGAAAAGACTTTTGACAACTACTTGGAAAAGAGTACTGTTGTCATTATTGTAGCTGTTACTTGCTGTCAGGACCCCATGTGTGAAGAACAGACTAGAACTATGCTCTGTAGGGTTTTCAAGGCAGTGACCTTCTGGAAGCAGCCCTCCCGGCCTCTCTTCTGAGGCACCTCCAGGTGGGTTTGAACTGCCAATCTTCTGACTACTAGTTGAATACTTACCTGACTCCTCAGAAAACGTTTGGACAAGGTGAAAAGAAGCAGTGTTATTGCTCTCCCCTTGTTCTTGTAACATAGGAGAAACTTTCCAACACTTTCTGAAGCCTTGGTTTCTCTTTTCTTTCATATTTCATAAATGCCTGGGTAACTCCTCCCCTGTATGGCTCTGAAGTATGCTTCTCTCCACACGTTAGACAGTTCTCCGGCACTGGGGCAGCGTGCCTGGGCTTGCCTATGTCGCAAATGCTGACGCTGGAAAAGGTGCAGCAGCCAGCTCCAGTAGCCCAGTACATGGCTGTTTCCAGAACCAAGGGGTGGAAGATGGCATGGCACCACTCACTATTACTCCTAGTGATCCACTTGCAGCATTTTTCTTCCTGTCCCAGAAATCCTATGGGCTTCAAGCCTGGAGGTCCCAAAGGAAGGAACTCTCCTATCTGGAAACACAGCCCTTCTCATGCCGTTGGATCAACAGGTCGGGAAGGGTGTCTATGTACTGAATGGTGTGATTGATCCTGATTACCAAGGAGAAATTGGGCTGGTGCTACATAATGGAGGTAAAGAAGAATATGCCTGGAATCTAGGAGATCCCATAGACCGTCTCTCAGTACTACCATGGTCTGTGATTATTTAAATGGTAAACTACAGCAACCCAATCCTGACAGGACATCTAATGACCCAGACCCCTCAGGAATGAAGATCTGGGTCACCCCACCAGGCAAAAAACCACAGCCAGCTGAGGTGCTTGCCGAGGACAAAGATAATACAGAATGGGTAGAAGGTAGTTCTACCTATTAGCTATGACCACATGATCAATTGCAAAAGTGAGGTTTACGATTGTCAGATTATTTTCTTTATATGTGCTTATTGAATATCTACTTTGTTCATGTGTGATGTATCAGATATAAATGAAACAGTTCAACTCTCTTCCATGAAACAGTTAATACACTGTCAGTCCTTCAACTCTCGAGGACTGCTGGGTGCAAGTCAAGGAAGCAGACAGCAGGGCAGGTCACCAACAGTCAGCCAGATGGCAGGGTCTGACAGTCCCCAGCTCAAGTGATGGGCAGCTAGCCTTTTCCTCATTCCCGCAGAACAGCTCATATAGCAGTGTTCCCACGGCTGCAGAGACTAAAGTTGGATGTCCCACTGTTGTTGTCTCTAGCACATGGCAGCCCCACGTGGAATAAAACAAGATATTGCCTGGATCCTGCATTGCCTTCGTGGTTATTGTTAATCACACATGATTCTGTGGTGATCTGATGGGATTTTTATTGGATAATTTTCAGAAGTAGATCACCAGGTGTTTCTTCCTAGTCTTAGAGAGAAGACGATGTTGCCATATAGGGCATATTGGGAAACTGGACCAGAAAGAGAAGGTATTTGACCTAGACTGTGCCTAAAGTACTGTAATGGAAGAGTCGTCCGTGTCTTCTGTAATGTGGAAGAAGCACCCTCCTTCTGAGTTTCACCTTATTGGGGCTCCTTTGACTTAGAGAGGGGCCACAGCAGGCCTCAGTGAGGCTGATGCCTGTGTTTCAAAGAGGATTTCAGCCACCAGAGAGTCTGGCTTCTGAGTGATGCCCTTTCTGAAAGTAATGTTAAGGTCTGGGCCTGGTCAGTAACCCCCAAGTTTAAACTTTCCAGGTAGAAAGTTGCCTTTCATCTAGGTGTGTTATTCCGGGTGGACTAGAGAAATCCAGGGAGACTCTTGTGTAAGAGAGAGTTTTATATCAAAGAGTAATTGTATATTAAGAAAACATCCCAGCCCAGTCTGGATCATGTCCATAAGTCCAAAATTAGCCCATATGTCTGATACCAGTCAATAAATTCCTCTTCAGACTCACGCAACACATAAAATGACACTGAAATGTAGGAAGATCACAGGCCAGTGGGTGGGAAGTCTTGTGGATCCAGTGTGAGTGGAAGTATCTCAGCCCTGTTGTGGATCTCCACATGGCTCCTCCAGCTCCAGGGCTCTGGCTACCATCTGCATGACTCCATGTGGCTTGTCAGTAGGAATGTCTTGCAGGAAGTGAGTGTATCTGGTCTTCAGTCAGCTATTTATCTCCCTCGCGCCTTTAAATGAGGTCATCAAGCTGTGACCTGATTGACAGGCTAGATTCCACCCCTTCACAAGTTGACATCAGATTATATAGCTACCACACTAGGATGAGTAAATGCATAGAGACAAAAGATAATTAGTAGTGGCCGTGGGCTGGGAAGAGGGCAAGTAGAGTGTTATGCTGAAGGGGTTCAGTGTTTCTGTTTAGGGTAATGAACACTTTTGAAAATACAGAAGAAGCTTCAAAAAGTTTGTAAAAAATACACAAACTTTTAAGCCCCTGGTAATTTAGTGGCAATAGTTAGACATTGTGGTGATTGTAATTAGTGCCAAAGAATTGTATCTTTTCAGTAATATATTTTCAATAGTTGCAATGAACTGTATATTTTCATGACAGTCACATGCATAAACCAGTTGCTTGCATTACACAGGCAGTCCATGGGTTACACAAATGCCTGAGTTGTGGACAACCCATACTTATGAACCAACCCCTATGAAGCCATTATATTAAACACTCAAGCTGGATAACAAACTGGGGACATGTGCATCAAAACATTATTATTATTAATTATTATTATTTGTGTTAGGCCAGTTTGACTAGAGAAACAAACCCAGGGACATTCATATATGTGTAAGAAAGCTTTATATCAAGAAGTAATTAGATGTCAAACAAACATCCCAGCCCAGTCCAGATCAAGTCCATCAGTCCAATATTACTCCTTAAGTCCAATTGATACTAGTCCATACATCCCTCTGTGGACTCATGCAGCCACACCCCATGATGAAAAATGCTGAAAGATCACAGGCTGCTGGGTGCAAAGTCTTGTAGCTCCAATGGCTGTGGATGCATCTCCAGGGCTCTGCTAATATCAGCGTGGCTTGAAGTGGTTTGCCACAGGAAGGTGAATCAGAGAGCGCGGAAGCCCACCTCCAGAGAGCCGTTTATCTCGGTCACTCTCCAATCAATCTGCGCCCTGGTGGACAGGCTAACTCCGCCCACGTGTTCCTGTGGAAGCCCTGTTTGCACAAAGAACCTAAGTGTCACATTATTATTATTACTGTATTATGTTAAAGATGTTTCTGTGTATCTGGAAGTGTCTCTGTAATGTTTTATGTGCCTAGAAAGGTGCACTACATAATAAGACAGACATTTGACTAACTGATGTTAGATATGAACTATATCTAATGTCTGACTTACATACAAATTCAGCTAAAGACACACTCAGGCAGAACTTGCTTAGTGTCCAGCTACAGAACTAATACATTTAAAAAAATCATTTTTAAAATGATTTTTTAAAACAATTCATCACAATCTTTACATGCATCTGTTGTGTCAAGTACATTTGTACATTTGTTGCCATCATCATTTTCAAAACATTTTCTTTCTATCAGCTTCTTATTTTTTGGCCTTCCTCCCCAACCCTCCCTCCCTCCCTCACGAACCCTTGATAATTTATAAATTATTATTATTTCATGACTTACACTGTCCAATATCTCCCTTCACTCACTCTTCTGTTGTCCATCCCCCGGGAAGGGGTATATGTAGACCATTTTGATCGGTGTCCCCCCCCCCCACCTTCCCCTTACTCTCCTGGTATTGCTACTATCATTATTGGTCCTGAGGGGTTCATCTATCCTGGATTCCCTGTGTTTCCAGTTCTTATCTGTACCAGTGTATATCCTCTGGTCTAGCCGGATTTGTAAGGTAGAATTGGGATCATGATAGTGGTGGAGGGGAAACATTAAAGAACTAGAGGAAAGTTGTATGTTTCATTGTTGCTACACTGCATCCTGATGGGCTTGTCTCTTCCTCTCGACCCTTCTGTAAGGGGATATCCAATTGCCTGCAGATGAGCTTTGGGTCTCCACTCTGCACTCCCCCTCATTCACAATGATATGATTTTTTTGCAGAACTAATACATTTAAGAACTGGAAAAATGGTTAAAAGTGGAAACTCTTGTGATATGTATTTTGATGTGATACAAAGTCTTTTTAAAGGTTGCCTGTTGCTGGAATGAGCCGTGGCGGGATTTGGTCTAGCTTGTCTTTTGGTGTTCCCTGTTGTACTGGGGGCCCTCACACAGCGAGTACAGGTGGAAGCCTGCACACTGGGGCTGGTCCAATGTGAGGGGTATGAGGTACTCATAGCCCCAGCTGACCTGCTCTCCCATCGGCCCTCTCCTTGCCCCAGAGGGTGGCCCGTGTGCTTTGGGGCCAGCTGAATAAAGAGACCCGGGAACACCACATCACCTGTGTAGAGCTGTTCTACCGGCTGCACTGCCTGGCTCCGACAGCCAACGTCTGCGAGGACATCATCTGCCACGCCCTCTTGGACCCGGACAAGGTGAGTGTAGCAGCCCGGTCGGTATCCTGCCCTGCTCTGGCTCCTGAGCAGGGCTGGTCGGTCTCTCTTCGTGCCCAGGGCCAACTCCGGGCACCCTTCTGGGCTCAGTGGGTATCCTGTTAGGGACCTGAAACACGTTAGAACTTCAACACTGAAAGGTCTCCGGAGGCACAAGCTATATGCCTTTTAATGTCTGAAAAATTAGGTGTGTGTCCATATGAAGACTTGTGGGAAATTAGTCCCACAACTGAATGAGGCCTGGTGAGCAGCATGTATGATTATAGAAAATAAGAAAGGCAAAAAAGCGGGATGGACAGGGACTCCTCATCCCAGTGTCGGAATCGAGAACAAGGGGGCCAGTTTATTAGACAGTATACACTATAATAGCAAGGTATGCAAACCTCCATCGGGTGCACACACAATAGATTGGGCAAAGTGTGAATCGGAGATATCCAGACTTTCCTGGGGGGAACATCTCAAAGGAGGTGTCTGGCAAGCAAGAAACAGGTGGTGTCAATGTGTGTCTTACTTAGACTAGGGACTGTGTGCTGGCCCACCCAGCGCCTGAGCTCGATGTGCACCATCCTAGCTCATCCCCTCCCGGCTCAGCCGGACACTGCGCACAAGGGAAAACACCCCTCCTTGCCCTGGCTCCTGCTGAGACCCTCTGTATGGAAACGGGGTCACTGACTGGACAACAGCACGGTGACCAAACCCAGGTCCTCACTCGCGCTTATTTCCGGATACAGGGGACACGGTTGGAAGCGCTCTTCAGGTTTTCCGTGATCTGGCACCTGACGAGAGAGATCCAGGGCAGCCGAGTCACATCTCACAATCGCTCCTTCGATAGGTGAGACAGTCTGTGTTGTCCTTGACCCTGGAGATGAAGGATGTTTGCAGAGGCTCGGTGTTAGCATGCTGGACTGGGGGCCAGGAGGAAAAGTATAATTGAGGGTATGGCCTATGTTCTTCACATACACCGTGCCCCCTGACGTGACTTTCTTCTGCCTGGCATGTGTGAGTACACGTGAGAGATTGTCTTCATCTGGCGGGGAAGGGAGGAGGCCAGGCCCACATCGGAACACAAACCCCACCAACAGCAAGGGAACCATGAGAGGAGATAGAATGTGCCGGGCCTTGAGCGCAGTGGTGGTATCTGGAGTATAAACAATCTCAGGGCACTTGCTGTCTACTTAGGATGTGAGACTTTTTTTTTATTATTTTATTAGGGGCTCATACAACTCTTATCACAATCCATACACACATCAATTGTGTAAAGCGCATTGGTAC